ACTGGAAAATCTCCATTCCCTCCCCACCCCATTAACCTGCTTTACAGCTCTGTTCTCCTTTTCAGGGCAACGAAAGAAGACCCAATCGATCAGCTGACACTCAGGAGGCAGAGAATAGGTGGGAGCAAGGGATTCAGAGGTGGTATTTGCTGGTTCTCTGAACTACTCAAAATTTCCGTTACCAGTTCTCCAGAACTGGCCAGAACCTGCTGAATATCATCTCTGGGTTAGGGACAAGTTAAGGACAGAAGCTGTTCTGTCAGTGAGGTGCCTGAGAAATAGCTTCTATAAATGATACAAAGCTCCAATGAGGCTAAAGAAGGATTTGTTTATTAATGTTCCCCCTACATTTACAAGGTCAAAAGACAAAGTCATGCACTAAATTAGGGAAGGAGGACTACAACAATTGATACTAGAAAGCTTCCTCTAATCCCCCAAAGGTACAGCAGATTACCAGATCTTCCTGAGCAAAACAACAATGTATGTGTAGAATGAAAGCACATTAATGATAGTTACACTGTCGTCAATACTGAAATTCTGAGAAGCAATTAAATAAAATGCATTAAAAGGTAATGTCCCTTGACATTTGAGAAGCATCAGGTCTATTACAGATAGAATAGCCATACTTATTAATGAAAGGATGTCAAAGTCAGTGTTTGCACACCACCCCAAAATGATAGTACAGTTCAATCTCTAGTTGAATGCAAAACAAATCAATAAGGTTTATAAGGATCCATGTCTTTGTTCTAACCACAAAGGGAAAAGAAGTAGACTTTGTACTATTCTATGAAGACTTGGCACAATACCTCCCCATCTTTGAAAAAAAAAACCTCCTACTAATTATAGGAATGCTAAATTTGGAAGTAAAGTAATATATGAATTATAGAGAAATTTGGCCTTGATGTAGAAACAAAGTGGGAAACAGACTATTGAAAAGTTCTGCAAAGAAAGCCCAATTCTTAGAATTCAAAATATTTGTTTCAGCTTCCAACATCCTGAAAGATTACATTACACATGGAGATCACCAAATGGACAATCCAAAATCAACTCACTATATATTCTGCAACCAAAGTTGGAAAATATCTACTCATTCAGCAAAAGCAAGTCCTAGTATTAACTGTGGTTTGGATTACAAATCCCTGCTTGCAAAATTATTACATTTGTAACTTTATGTTTCTTTTCCTTGTCATCTGGCTCTTATTTTCCTTGACAACACAATGGTAATGGGTGACCTAGCGCTAATCACTTTCCCTCAGCCCTAGGAAGGAAGTAATGGCAAACCACTTCTGAAAAGCTTTGCCAAGAAAACTGTAGTGAGTTGTCCAGGCAGCTGCCAAGAATTGGACATGATAGAACAGAAGAAGAAAAAAGTAGGAAACTTATTAATAAAAAACTGGACACCTTTATGTTTTATTGCAACATTTTCATATTTAATATTTTCCAGCCTGGGTGATTGGGGACTATGTGGGAGGCAAGATTATGCAAACCTGATGGGCTTATAGATTTTTGGAGGGTGGCAGTCCTTTTTATTTCTTAAGTTTTCAATATGTATTTGTTTTTAATTGATTCCCACTACAAAATGACAGGAAACTTTGCCACCAGTTTTCAACTATTCTAGTCAGAAGTAATTCCAATAGTCACTACAAATGGATCTGTGTATTTCAAACGGCCCAACCATATTTTACTGCAAGAATGAGATAAACAAAGCTCATATTATTACTGAGTACTGCTACAAGAACTGCTATGGTCTGCATTCTTGCCCTTTAGCATTAGGAGACAGTGTTATAAACAATCTATGTCTTTCCAGAGGACAAGTGACGTATCAACAATAACCTCTATTTAAGCCATGTGATTAATTTCTTCATTCTATCCTTTTCCTGCCTTGGAGTCCCTGATATGCTGAAAATCCCATCATCCCCCAATTGTTCTATTGTTTGGATTGTGAGGAACTGAAGTCCAAGGACATCTGGAATTTTGTAGCTCGAAGCTGTTAGTCCAGTCATTGCCCTTGCTGCATAGATTGACTTCTCCCAATGCACAATAATTCATATGGTTAACTATAGATATTCAGATAAAGGAATCCTTATTGTGAGTTTTGCTATAATCAACAAGTAATAGTTTCTACCTGTTTTGGAGCAAAAATCACCAAAAAAAATGTACTCCTAGAACGTACTCTAGATCAGTGGTTCCCAAAGTGGGTGGTACCTGGGGGTGGTGGGATGACTTGGGGGGGCACTAAGAGGCAAGGGGGCCAGCAGGGGAGCACTAAGAGGCGGCAGGGGGATGCTGGAGGTGGGCCCCTTGCAGGGCACAATTCAGGGGTGAGATTCTACCAGTTCATTACCATTCCTGGTAGTTTGGAGAACCGGTAAAATGGGCCCCTGGCTGGCCCTGCTCCCCTCTGCCTGCTCCTCCACTCCCTGACCAGTCAGTCCTTATTGTGCATGCATGACCTCGTGCATATGCGCAACAATCGCTGACAGCCAAAACAGCACATTGGAGAATTGGAGCAAGCAAAGCCGGAGGTCAGTAATTTTCACTGCCAAAAGCATCCAGACGCCATGGGTTTTTTTTTGGGGGGTGGGTGGGTGGCTGAACCCAGCCACACCGAAAAAACCATGTGGCATCTGGAGGTTTTTTGCAGTGAAAATTACCAACTTACGGCTTTGTTCTGCTTCTCCAACGCACCACCACTGCTGCGTTCTATGCACCAGCCATGCAGGCTCACCCCATTAACTGTTGCACCACTCCACTTGGACTTGCTTGGGCAAGTCCCTCTGGTGCAGCAAGCTCAATGGGGTGGACCTACGGGGCCTCTGAAAGGGGATACATGGTGATGCAGGATTAGAGAGAGAGGAAAAGAGAGAGGGGGAACAAGAGAAAGAGAGAGAGAAAGAGAGAGAGAGAAGAAAGAGAGATAGGGAAAGAGAGAAAGAGAGAGAGAGAGAGAGAAAAGAAAGAGAGGGAAAGAGAGAAGGAACAGACAAGAAAGAAAAGAAAGAAAAAGAGAGAGAGAAAGGAAGAGAAAGGAAGAAAAGGAATAGACACAGAAAGAGGGGGTGTGGAAGGAAGGGACAGGAAGAAAGATAGAGAGAGAGGGAATGAGAGAAAGAAAGAAAGAAAGAAAGAAAGAAAGAAAGAAAGAAAGAAAGA